GATAAAGCCAAGATGTTGGTATTACTGGCTGGTATCTTCGTGGTCCACATTGCCACTGTTATTATGTTATTTGTTTCCACCATTGCCAATGTGAGTAATGTTCTTTTGTTCATTCATTCATTGAGAAATTATTTAAATATTTACACTAAGTGCTGCAAAAGAAGTTTAAGCCATAATCTCTGACCTTTGTGAACTCACAGCTTAGTTGGGGGAAAAAATAAACACACACTCATACTTAAGACAATTAAGTAACAAGAGGATAAAAGCAAGTGTCCATCTGAGGGGTCACACCAGGGCTGAAGGCGTTTAGAGGCTGGAGGGGGAATGAGGCTTCCTCAGTCTCTAGAGGGGCCTGTCCCACGCAGAGATGGGAGCTTGAGGTGAACTTGGAGGACTGGTGGATGGGCGGACGGTCGGGGTCTCCTAGAGGAAAGAATGTTGAGATGCATTCCAGGTAGGAGTGCTCGTGAAGATGCACACCCGGGCAGCATAAGCTGTGTTCAGGGAATAATGGGGGACACCTTGTGTCTGGAGCAGAACTTCTCTTCCTCCTGGGAACTTTGATTAGAAGGATAGATGGGAATGAGAGGATGAGAGGATCTGATTACCAGACTGATGAATTTGAGTTTTGAGTAGAGAGTAGCATGTGAAAGTGGAATTTTGCAAGATTGATTTGGTGCCACTGAATTCCCTTGGACAAAACAATGTCAAAATATTGTGGTGATAATCTTTTCTCTCTGAGCCTTGGGTGACTCTGACCTCTAGTGGTAGTTTACAGTGCCCAATTTGCTTTTATTGTGGTTTTCTCAGGAAAAACAAGATTTAAAAACCAAGGCTCCACCATTCACTAGGCGGGCAAACGATGGTTCCAGAATTTGTTCAGGTCCCTGTTACAGTTAAAGAATATGAGTTTTAAAGTTCGGATAGAAAAGCCTTGTAAACATTGAGGGTTTGATTACAAGCAGGGCTAAATTTAAGCATAACTGTCGTAAAGACACAGCCCTTGCCCGTGTGGCCACCTCCAGATTTTGTAATTCAGCCATTCTGTATGCCAACCCTATGTCTCCCAGATCAACTTCCTCAAAATGTATTATTGGATGCCACAGTGCTGCATATCTGTGAATTAGCTCCTGATACAGGGCTTGGCACCCAGTTGTTTATTGATGAGGAGCAGGTGATTGCATGTCCTTACCCCTGCTTTTCTAGGATATGCATTTTGTGTATGTGTGTAGACATGACCCTGCATTTGTTTTCTTTTTTTTTTTTTTTTCCTTTTTGTCTTTTTTCATGACCGGCAACGGATCGCAA